TTTTTTTTTTTTTCAGAAGATTCCAGAAAGAAAAGAGTTCCAGTTCTGCTGATCATCTGCTGTGCGTTTTTGGGCAGGTCGTTGCAGCTTTTTGAGCTTGCGTTTATCTGCATTAGGAATTATGCTACCTTAGACGCCTGCAGAGTTTTGGAAACTGTAAAATATTATTTGCAATCTACTTAACTAAGCAAGGACCTTATCTATGGGTGAGGGGCGGAGGCAAAGGAGGACAATTCCATGGAGGATTCTGAGCAGGGCAGAGGTTGGTTGAGCTGGGGGCTCCCCAGGGAGATGGGGGCAAAAATACTCAGGCGAGTGACCAAAACTCAAAGCTTAAGCTCAGTTCCTCTATTTTCAAAACAGGGGTGATAACCCGAGGTTCGCAGAAGGGTCCCACGTACAAATGTTATAACGGGTTGGACGGCACGAGTAAGATCCGGAACCAGAGGCCCACGGTCTCGGTGCAGCACCCGAGCCCCACAGCGGATCCGGCCAGAGCAGGAAGCGCCGGCTGCGGGGGAAGCCAATCCAGACACACAGCCGGAAGTGAGTGGGCGGGGCTCCGCCGACAGCGTCGATAGACGTAGCCGGGAGCCAATGGGAAGCGGAGGCGGAGCCGCCTCCACCAATGGAACGCCGACGTAGGCGGGCCCTTCTACATCGCCCTGGTAACGGCCGCATGGTAACCCGGGAGCCGGGGCCACACGGCAGTCGGGGCCGGTTTTCCGCGCTCGTGTGGGGCTTCGCGGCGGCTGCAAGATGAAGATCGAGGAGGTGAAGAGCACCACGAAGACGCAGCGCATCGCCTCCCACAGCCACGTGAAGGGGCTGGGGCTGGACGAGAGCGGCCTGGCCAAGCAGGCGGCGTCGGGGCTCGTGGGGCAGGAGAACGCGCGCGAGGTGCGGCGGGCGGTCGGGGGGCGCCGAGCGGGGCGGCGGCCGCGAGAGTGGGGGGCCCGGGGCGGCGTGCGCGGGCTGTGGGGCTCCCCTGAAGTCTCCTTAGGGCCCCGGGAGAAGTGGTGGCGACGCCCCCGGGGGATTGACGAGCAGTGATGGAGCACCCCGGGGTACCCCACGGCGGGACGCTGGGTCACGGCAGGGACCCAGATGGATACACGGGGTCCCTGCTGTCGGGGCGCTGGCATTTTAATGGTAGGCCGGGCAGGGTAGCTCAAGTCTATGATCCCGGCATATGGGAGGCCGAGGAGGGAGGATCGCTGGAGGCCAGGAGTTCGAGACCAGCCTGGGCAACATAGCGAGACCCCGTCTCTACTAAAAA